TTATTTATTTCAGTCTTATTTTTGCTCTATTTGTTATGTAAAGACTAAGGGCAGATCTGTCCTTTCCATGTAATGAGCATAACCTATAAATATTAATTAARRTGGYRGYRGCAGAACATTAAGCTTCTGCTCCTCCTTTTCAACTCTTGTGTTCTACTGCTTCTCTTCCCTCTTCCTCCTTTTCTCTTTATCTTTCTTATTTTCGAACCTGAAATCCATTAGGGTTCAAGACTGATAACAGTACTGAACTTCTACTGGGACATTGAGATACAATAAAGCTGGGTGAAGAGGACTGCTAACTCATTTGCAGATGGGCTGGCCAAGCAAGGGGTGAATAGGGAGTCTATCTTTTGGGCTAATTTTTAACTTTCTTTCATTGTATTCTGTTGATGGGGAGTTTAGACATTTTACCTCCCCCTATTGTATCTAAAGTTTCACAAATCTTCACATCATTAATAAAGTTTTTTGTTACTGGTAAAAAAAAATCTGAGCTCAAGTAAGACAAATTCAACCATGCAATTATATCCACAATTTTATTGGTTTTGTGTTGTTAATTCTATTCTTTAAGCCTTAATATGTCCTTTTTTATTTATATTTTTTTTGGCTCTTTTGGGGGATTTTCTTTGGTTCGTTGTTTCTTAATTTAGACAGAGTCACAAAGAAATTTGATTTGTTTGTAAGCAATTTCTATTGTATCCAAAATGTATGGTACCTAAAAGGAGTTTAACCAACCAGCATCCCCAGTGAATTTGAGTAAGATATCTTTTGTATGGTTATTAATTTGTTAGGTACCATACCTTTTGGGTACCATAGTGGAACTCTTTGTTTTTATCCACAAAGTTTTAATTCCAAAAACATCAATATCTATGTCTATATCCAATTATCCATATGTAACTATATAGATAGATAAAGTACTGGAAGGTTTTAGTCTCTTCTTACTAGGTATTTTATGCCATTTCTTTATATACAATGTTGAATTTCTTCAAATTTGTCAAATACTTGGCTCTGACTCATCTTTGGTTTTTTTGGTGCTTTGGTATGCTGGATTGCGAAATTGTCTGTATACGTTTGCAGTGTAAGCTGGAAATTTCTGTCTTGTCTTGTCCTTATTTTGCTGCTTGAACAGAAATCTTTTAATTAAACTTTTCTTCATGCAGGCTTGCTGGTCTTGCTTTATTGTTTTCGTCCAGCATTCTACTGCAAATCCTGGTATGTTTCTAATTTTTATAATTAGTTTGGATTTAGAGATTTGTTGAATTTAATGTCATAAAAAGTAATGGGTTTTAAATCTTTATCTGTTATCATACGTATCATATGGTAGGTGTATCCCTCATATCCTGTGGTTCACTTTGCAATCCTTGACATGTATTGATGTATATGAGTGTAGAGCTTTGTTATCTGTAGTTAAATGATAGCCAGATGCCTTATATTTGAAAAGAGATGTTTCTGAGAAGTTAAAAAGTAATCATAAATTCATAATAGTAATTCTAAGAAAATGTAAAAGTAGGAACTGATATATTTTCTCTCCCTTGTAGACACACATATATAAGAGGGAGGGCGAGAAACCCTCACCAAAAATACAAAAAGTGTGCCTATATCAATATGCACAGGTCATTTAAGCTAGCTGGCAGCCCCACAAAAAGATTCAAGCAACCAGCCCAACTCTGAATAGCCCAGTCCACCTTGCCAATAGCTACTTCTACTGCCTCTGATTTAGATCCAAAGATTCTCTGAATCTGTTCTTTCCATACCACACACAAATATTTGGGGATTGAGCGTGTCCATACTCCATGGTTGATTGTGTTGCGGTAAACATGTACATACATTAGTGGTGATGCCCTTTGAAAAATCACTAAATACATTGTGGAACTGATCAATGAAGTGGTTTTTTAATTTAAAGATTTCTCTTAACTGTTTCAACTAAACTCAACTTTATTGGTGGAGGGGAATTGGGTTCTGTCTGAAATTGTCTATTTTGTGGAGTTATCAGTTCTTTTTATTTTATGTTTTTTTTCCTGATTGATAAAGGTTGAACTAAATGACCTCTTAGATGTTAGTTACAAGAAAAACCACCTGGTGTTTTTAAAGAAGCACCTACCTGTTGAAGCTTTTGCTTAGATGGTGGTGGAGAAAGTTTTCCAGATTTTTACCATGCCTTCTATATGGTATTTCTTTTTTATCCTTCCATCTCTAATGAGTTCAGCTCTTGAAAATTGGCATATATCTCTATCTATCTATATATCTCTATATGTATAGGACACACTTCAACAATCCATTCAGATTTCTTCCTATTGATTTTGCTTCTAGAAATTGAAATGTCTAAGGAACCTCTTTTTATATACACAGTTAATGAATGACAACCTTGCAATCCTTCTCTACAATCAGATCTTTCCAATTGTTCAAGGCTGCCGACTTTAGTCCATGAATGAGAGTCAAAAGTTCAGCTCTCAATGAAACCATTTGGAGGCTAATGTGGAGGAGCACTATGGCTGTAGTGATATGGACTATTTGGGAGGAAAGAAATACTCGTATATTTGAGGATTAAGGGAGAAGCTTGGAGGCTATCATTGAAATCATTACAGTAAGAGTGGCTCATTGGGTGAAAACCTTGGACCTCTTCTTAGACTTTATAATTGATGGTATTTTGAGAAACTGGGGTGCAGTTACCAGAGCTTCATCAAGAAAGGTACAAGTGACAAAGAGTTGGATACCACTGAAAAGAGGTTTCTTGAAGCTAAACTTTCATAGAAGCAGCTTTGGAAACCCAGGACCATTGGGTATAGGAGTCTTCATAAGGGAGGAGAATGGAGGCATTCTTTCAATGTTTTCAGGACCAATAAGAGAAGGTAATTCAATAAAAGCAGAACTAATGGCAGCAGTGGGTGGGGTGCAAAAGGCAAAGAAGATAGGGGTGGAGAGACTTGTAGCTGAAGGGGATTTCAAAACAGTGATAAGATGGTTGTGTAAGGAGAGTCAGGAGATGTGGTGATACAGAAATGAATCAAGCAATTCAGATGGCTAATGAGGAACATGCAGTTAAAATATGCTGGGTACAAAGACCAGCAAATTCTTTGGCAAATGCTTTAGCCAAGCAAGGGGGCAGCTGTTTTGGGCCCAACCATAAAGCAAAAATGGGCAGGGGTGACTAATGTTTGTTTTTGGGAACTGAATTGTTGTATTTAAGAAGATAAAGGGGCTATATTTGTGTATATTAATGGTGTGGTTAGCCAGGGGTAACTACCAGTCTTTGGGATCTTAGCTCAGATATTTTTTTGAGAAATGGCGATATTATATTACCATTTTCTTTTAATAAATTATTCCTGTTGCCTATCAAAAAAAAGTTATCTTGCCCAACTGACCCTGAAAAACCGAATTAAGTATTGCATCTATCACCTCTCCCTCTCATTTCTCCTCTTATTTGTGATTCATTTGATTGCTTAGGCTGGACCCATCAGTATTAAGTTTAATTCTGCCCAAATCAGGAGCCCTCCATTCCACTAATCTGTGCTAATTCCTAACAGAGAAACCATCCATTATCTGCCACCCTCTTAGCAGATAATCAGTTATGATTCCCTTGGATATTTCTCAAATAATCTAGCATTACTCTCACCCTGTATCATGCTTACCCCTTCCAAGACCCCTGATGGCTGGGATCAACATTGGGTAATGTCCTTTTTTAACTCTTACTTGCAGTCCTTGTGCAATGCCCTTAATACCTCACTCTTTTTTTTTGAATAACTAATATTTCAAGTCTTTTTGTATGACAAGTCACTAGATTTGCGGTTAAGAAATCAAAGATGTTTGATGGTGCTGTCTAAGATGTCCAGGGTCACACTCTTGAGACAAACAAGGGGACAAGCACTCAGTTTTGTATTACCGTTGGAGCCTTCACATGTGTTCATTACTTGAAGTTTTGCCTCCAAACAGATACTTTGACTTCTGGTGGAGAAGGACCTTCCAAATGGCTTTCCCTGGGTGGAAATGAGTCTGGGAATTGGTTTGGTAGAGTATTTTAAAGAAGGATGCAGAAGAGATCATACCACTAGGATTCAGAGTACGCACTCTCTAATCTTATCCAGAAAGAGAAGGAAATAAACCATAGATTGTTTAATGGACTTACAATTTCATTAGATTCAGAATCTCTTAATCCCCTTCAGGCCTTCACCGCCCTAGGTTCCAAGAGAGGCCTCCATTGTCATGATATAATATCTCAGCAATAGTTTTTTTTTTTTAATGGGTGAAGACAAATGATGAAAAGACTCTTTTGCCCATGATTATTCTTCAAATTTTCAAAACAATGTTATAGCCTACTTAGGTTTTTGTCATTCATGATGGAGCCTTTCAAGCACTTTGACCTGCTCAGGTGTGTGATGGGCATATTTTCTGTTGCCCATTCCAGCTTTATCATCCTTGTGCCATAACAGCCATCATAACTTCCGCAATTAATGGAGCAAAAAAAAAAAAACTTCACAATTAGGTGTGATTAAATAGCAGAACCACTAGTTGAAGTGTTCAATCAGCAAGAGTTGAGACTGTGAGACCAGAGGAAGCAACTCTCAACCACTTTCAAGATTCAAATAATCAGCAAGCAAGAGGTGGGGTTGGAAGTTTAAGCTCCACTGGCATGGATACGAAGCTCTCACTTGACTTAATACTTACTCTCCCCTAGAAGTCAAAAGGAAATATTGAAGAAATGAATACTTGAAGAGTCTCAAACTTCAAGTCTTCTTCTCTAACAATCTCAAAGCACTCAAGCAAAGGGAAAATAAATAAGAAATTTGATTGGTGTTCCCCAAACTAAAATGTCTTTGTCCTTCCATCACTATGAGGCAGCAGTGAATACAAGAAAAAAATATATCTTTTGAGAGCGGAGCATTAGACCACCTTAAACACCCCCCTCCCCAGTCCGCAGCATTTCACAAGCGTGTTAAACTCTGAAGCTTTTATATCCACTGAAGAAGTTGAGACTTGCAGGCTCAAGCCTAAAATAGTAGAATACACTATCCTCTTCCTCTTTCAAACCTCTGGAGCAAAGTCAAGGGAAGCATTCCATCTTAATCTCTCTCTCTCTCTCTCTCTCTCACACACACACACACACACACACACACACACACACTCCTTGTTTTGCCTTCTTCTGACATGTTGACAATTTGAATGTGTTGATCCTCTGATTCCCTTCATAACCCCAGCACTGAGCCAAACTTGGTTGTCCCCACAAAATGCATTTGCAAACACTACTTGATTCCATCATACAAAATTCAAATGCATTGTTCCTCTGATTCCCTTGATAACTTGCACTCTGATGCATAGGTCAAGCTGAGTCCTGGTCATGGCTGTTCTCGAGTAATTTGTATTGAGAGAGGAGCTTTGTAAAAGGGAGAACTTGGTTTTTAAAAAGATTATCACATGATGTCACATGCAAACAGAATGTGATGAACCACTAACAGAGGGCTAGTAATTATCCTGTGATGTCGTCCAACAATAGGGCTATCAATGGGTTGGGTCTACCTGACAGAACCAAACTAACCAAACTGATTATGTTGGTTCTGGTTCTGTGGTTTTGTCTCGATTAATAATTGGGTTGGGCCTGATATTTTGAACCAATTAAAACCTGAACTAATCTACAGTTAATAATATACAAAGATCTCCTGGTTTTCTTGTAATTTTTGTAAGATTTTATGTCCAAAAGGTTAAATTTCATAATTACATTACCCTTTCTCAAAAAAAAAAAAAACAATTCATAGACACTATATAAGATAATTTTAGTTAAAAACACTTGTTTTGTCAACATATAAACAGTTACTTTTTTACTATCATTTTTATTAAGGCTATATTATCAAAAATAAAGTTTTAAGTTGTTATTATCATAGGTAATTATAGATGTCAAGTATAATTGGGCCTAATCAGATCAGATCCAATTTCCTTGATTAATAATTGGTTTGGGACTGGTACACCTGGTCCTGAACCATTACCCGGCCCATTGACATCTCTACCCACCAAGGGTACTTCAATTCATTCCAGAAACCAGAGGGGAGGCTTTAGTATTTTGAAGGAATGAGAGATCCATCGTATGGACGCCCAAATCTTGCGGAATAAAGGGGCGAATTTCAAAAATTTTTCTCTCCCTTTCAACTGGGAATCGCATTCCCTATTTAGAAAATCATATTTTCAAGGATCAATCTTGAACCATAAACTGAACCAGATCTGAACCAAAAGGAGTAGG